TCCTCACGTCAGGCTCTGCCTGTGGACTCTTTGCGGCTGCCAGACCCCACTTTATCCGTGTCTGCCGCAGGTCATACAGGCTGGGGAGTTAACAACAGTGGGGAGCAGCCTTTAGCTGAGAGCTGGAGGGTCAATACCCAGGCCCCACCCCCCTTGCCCTTGAGACGACAAAAGGTGCCATGGCCACTGCTCCAAGGGTTCCCAAAGAGTACTGAGTTCCAGCAGCCCCCAGTAGTACCCATCACGCCTCCTCCATTTCTCGTTTCACTTCTCTTACTTCCCTGCTGTGTTTCCCAGGGTCTCCTCCCAAACATGCAAAGGACCCTGCCATCTTGTCTCCGGGAAGCCACCAAGGAAGAAAGGTTGTCCTGCTCTACCATCATGGTGGACATACTACAAGCACTCAGTACCAGCTTGCTAGTGGGACTGCCACAGTGATTTCTGGCCATCGTTTCTTGTCACCTCAGTGCCGTGCCCTTCCTTCTGCCCTTGCCTTTCTGCACTTTTCACTGTTTCACAGTTCCTGTGCCCTCCGCCTCTTCTTACCTACTTCTTCATTTCTCTCTTTCCCCTGGGCAACTCTAATTTCGAAGAGAGGATGGAAATTTTTCAACAATTAACAAGAGAACTGGCACCTAGAAAAACTGGTAGATCCAACAACGCTTGTTGGGACTGGCAACTTCTTGAAGGCAGGAAGGATGCTGGTTTTCCCTTTGCCTTAAGAGGAACACATGAGTCTGTATTCAGAGGGCAAATAAGACGAATTAGCCGACTTTATTTTAATAAAGGAAGGAAGCTGAATGAAATCTACTTCCTCTGTGTATCACATCTGCTTCCCTGCTGCAGTTTTAGCCAAAATGATCATTTTTTAACCACATCCACGACAATTTGGCCTCTCACAACTGCAGAGCAGAGCCACTGCTCACTAAACGATCCTCTGGTGATATTAGACTGTTAATGCACCTCATTTACACACAAAGAACACACGCCAGCATCATCTGGACTATTAACCAATTTCCGATATGAGATTAATGCAAAACTGTTATCTTGGGAGGGGGGAAGGGTTTATGAATAAAGATGGATTTTCTCATTAATGGAGTGATATCAGTTCCACGCACCACACAGTTTTGGTGTGACAAGTTGTGACTTGGCAACATGACAGGAATGCATGCAGAAGAAAGTTTGGTTTGTCTTGAGAGAACCAACACAGTGAATTCAGAAATCAAAAGCTTTCTGTTTTGGGTTTCTATCTTCAGACCTCTGAATACTGCACGGCAAGAAGTTGGCAAGGTGGCTGGGTGATCTTTTCTCAATGAGCCTGTAGCTCTCTCGGCTTCCCGAGGGGTTGTCTGCATCTGTTCCGGGCCCCAGTGGGGGTAGAGGGGGGGTGGCTTGTTTTTATGTTGTTGGGAACCAGCAAACAAACCTCCCTGTTACTGTGCTTGTGCCAGGTGAGCAAACCTACTGAGGAAGAATTCTTTCAGAGTGACAGGGCTGCCCTGGAAGAGGGGTGAGCTGGGCAAAGAGGGAGGCATTTTATCAGAAGTCTCTACAGGTGGCCCTCCTTGGGCCTTCCCTGTTTAAAGAGCTAGAGATTTGAAAGCAGCCAAACGGTTGTGGCTGGAGGCCAGACTTTCTTTATACAAATGTTTCCCTGTTTGCTGCTCAGAGGAGATTCTTTCCACCTGTTCCTGACTTCCCCAGCCCCCACGCCCCAGCCCCCACGCCCGCATGTCTCTGCAGGTCTGGGGCCTGCTCTGTGGATCCATGCACCGTTTTCCTGTGTGTCTGGAGATGGGAAAGATACAATTTCAGGGAAAGAGAAGTCACAAGCCAGAAGTCTTTGGTTCGAGACCCAGCTCTGCCTTTCACGTGCTTAGCTGTTGGTTGGAGGAGGTTGGAGGAAACTGAGGAGCCTCAGTTTGAAACAAACATAGTAATAGCTTCATGACAGGGTTCTCATGAAGAGTGGATGAGCTAGTGACCGTGCCATCCGTGTTAAATGAGCACATCTCACACAGGTACACGAATCACCAATTGGGGCAGTTAGAGGGGGAGAACCATGCTCTCTCTTCTTGTGGGGTATGTGACCCATATGTGAGCAATGCTATGATGGGCTTGGTTAGAGCTAGATGGGAGAGGTGGGGGCGGGTCTCAAAGTTTGGGTTCAATTCCTACTTCTTTGTAGCTGGGTGACCTTGGGCAGTTTCCTTAGCATCTCTGAGCCTGTTTCCACAACTGTGAAATGGGGATAAAGTGTCTGGATCTTCTAGGATTGCTGTGAAGAATGAATCCATTAATTCAATAACTAGGAAAGGGGATCACAGAGACAGAATTAACTTCCTCTACTGGGATGAAGGTGGGACCCAAGCTGAAACCAGGGAAGCAATAAGCAGCCGCAGGCACAAAATGTATGTTTGGACTAAAATATAAGTTGATCCTTGCATAACATGGGTTCAAACTCCACGGGTCCACATATATGTGGATTTTAGAAAGTAAATACAGCACAGTACTGTGAATCTATTTTCCCTTCCTTATGCTTTTTTAAAAAATAACCATTTCTCTTCTCTAACTTACTTCCTTGTAAGGATACAGTATATAATACATATGAAAAATGTGTATTAATCAGCTATTTATGTTGTTGGTAAGGCTTCAAGTCAACAGTAAGCTATTCGTAGTTAAGTTTTTCGGGATTCCAAGTTAGACCCAGATTTTCGACTCTACGGGGGTCTGCCCCAACCCATGCATTGTTCAAAGGTCAACTGTAAATGAGATTAGATTATAGACTAGATTTCTTTTTTTTTAAAGATTTTTATTTATTCATTTGAGAGCAAGAAAGAGAGAGAGAGAACACAAGCGGGGGGTGGGGGAGGGAGAACACAAGAGAGAGGGATAGAACACAGAGGGGCAGAGGGAGAAGCAGACTCCCTACTGAGAGGGAGCCTGACATGGGGCTGGTTCCCAGGACCTCAGGATCATGACCTGAGCTGAAAGCAGATGCTTGACTGACTGAGCCATCCAGGCGCCCCTAGATTATAGGCTAGATTTCCATAGAAGCAATATTCTGTATTTCTATAGTAGAAACATTATCTACAGAACTTGATTTAGACAGGAAAGCTAAGAAACCCCAGTCATTGGTCCTCATCTTATATTTTCCAGTATTTTTACATTTAATATTTATAGGAGTGAGACTGCAGAAGAATTAAAATGGGGGACAGCATGAAGAATGCTTCCCTCCCCAAGCCTGGAGACAAAAGAAACAATGGAAGGAATGATGGAAGTGAAGCCCCTCTATTCAATAGTGGTGAGATCAGCACTAATTTTGATAATGGAATAGAATTTCTGTGGGCCTAATACTTCTTAAAAACTATTGTATTTTTGAGGCGAGGTCAGTCAGCATTATTTGGGTCTGAAGTTAGTGCATTACATTTCATCTCTCAATGTTCTTTCTGACATCAGTTTTTTAGAAAAAAATCCTTTCCCCTTCGTTAAAATCTGTAGTGGCCAGTGTGGTTAGGGACCACTGATTTGAAACACCATTGTTCATGAACCCAGAAAAAAGGATGATGACCTATTTTTTTTTTTAAAGATTGGTTGACATAGCTTTGAAAAATAAGTCAATCTCAAAAAACAAAAACAAAAACAAGTATTTAGCCAGGAATCTAATGTTTTCTGAATCTCTACTTGGGAGTGAGGGTTTTTGCAAGAAGACAGAAACTGTTTTGCTAGAGAGATCCGTTCTCCTGTTTTATTTCCCCTCTGAAATCATGAGCCGATGTTTGTGACATCACTGGGTTGCTGTGGAAATGTTTATTTCACAGAGGATTTCGACCTCAAGTGGGGAATTTGCAGGAGGAAGTGTGAAGTCTTGGAAAAACACAATTGGTTTGAATAAAAATGGGCAGCATTTGGAAAAAGAATTCAGACAGAAAGCAATATAAATTGCCTATAACAGATTGTTTCAAGTTTTCCTGTGTTCAAATACTTGTAAGAGGCATCTTACACTGATTTGCCCATTTTTATATGAATTTTACTCACTAGAAAGATCTGTATAAGAAATTAGGGAGAGCAGGTAAGGAATGGCTTTTTGCATTAAAAAAAAAACAACTTTTGGCTACTCAATTATTAAAGTTGAGAAAAAGGTTTAGTCCTAAAATACCATTTTGAGGTGGGGGGGTAGATTATATCCGTTTATATTTTTAGACCATTTAGCAGACTTAAGAGAAGAGCTCCATTTAAAGAATTGCGACTCAAGGGGCCTGAGTTTTAGATGCAGAACCTACAAAATCCCTTTTCGTTTTAAACTGTTAAATCAACAGAATGCCAGGCTAGAGCCTTTCTTCCTGCTGGGGCAGTATTGTCCCCTAAATCCACTTTCCAGTTTTCTTAGCCTAGCCTAGTTTGATGTAGCATTGACTTAGCTTAACTACAGCAACCGGGTAAAGGAAGTGGGTTTGCATTTGGGATGGGAGGAGGCGGCCACGGGTATATGTGTGTGCCTGCGTGTGCGCACGCGGGGGACGAGGGGCACAGGGAATCGAGACACAGCAACTGTGTGAAAATAATTTCCCCATGGCTGGAAGAGGGGTCTCTGCACGGGAAAGCAATTTTAGGAATTAAAAAAAAAAAAAAAAAGAAAAAAGAAAAAAAGAAAAATCTTCAAAGAGGGCGGGAGGAAGGCTTGCCGGGAGGGTGCGGGGCGTAGCGAGGGACATGTGCGTCTCCGCGGGCATCCTGCTGTCCTCCTCCCCTCGCGCCCACCTGCCCGCGGCCGCACCCGCGCCCCCTGCCGTCCCGGGGCGCACACGGCCGGCCGTGGGGGGGCCGCAAAGGTCTGGCGGCGCGGGCTGATTTAGTGGCCGGGGCTGTAGTACAGGCTGTCCCCGGCAGCCGGCGGAGTCAGCGCGCCCACGTGACGGCCCCGGCTCTCCGGTGAGCTCCCCAAACAGACGCACACCCAGCCACACGCGCGCACACACACACGCACGCACCCCCGCGCGCACACGCCCGCCCGCCCGCTCTGCCTCTGCGCCCTCCATCCCGGCTCGCTCATTCTCTCGCCCTCTCGCTTCCCCTGCGGTCTCTCGCTCTGCGCGCACACACCACACACACGCACACGCACACACACACGCGCGCACACACGCAGCCGGCACAGGCGGCGGCGGCGGCGGCTGCCCAAGTCAGGACGAACCTCTGTAGGTACCGTCTTGAGAAGGCGGCAGCGGCGGCGGCGGCGGCGGCGGCGGCGGCGGCGGCGGCGGCGGCGGCGGCAGCCCGAGCATCCCTCCTCACCCGGAGAGCGAGCACCGCCGAGAGTTTGCGTTCCCTTTGCCGTTCCCTTCCCCCTCCTTCTCTTTATTTTCGAGAGAATTTCTTCTTCGCTTATTGGTTTAATTTGATTTTGAAAATTTTTGGTTGCTTTTGTGTGTGTGCTTTTTTTTTTTTTTTTCTTTCCTCATTTTATTTGCATCCAGAGCATGGCGGGCTGCGGGCTGTCGGAAGACACCTTCTTCTCTTCCTTCTTTTACAACTACGGCTCCTCCTGGGAAACCCCTTCCAACCAGGTAAGGGGTGGCTCGGGGCCCGGCGGCGTCGCGCCCTGTGCCCCCCGCCGCGCGCTCGGCATTCGGCGGGGAGGCAGAGGCTTGGGAGGGGGTGGGGAGGCCCGGGGGCCAAGTGGGTCGCACTGTCTGGGTCAGTGCCAACCGGCGAGAGGAGGTGCCCCTAGTCCCCAGAGCTAGCTCTCCAGTCTCCAGGGGCGGTAGCGTTCCTCTCGTGCCCAATCTGCCTCCCCCCGCCACCACCTCCTAACCCAGCGGAAACCCGAGAAAGAGGCAGGAGCCAGCACGTTACCCCGAACAACTCCTGGCAAAACCAGGGAACTCGAGCGCAACCTTCCCCAAGTCGCCGCGGGCGCCGCGCCCCTGTGCGCCGGGCGCCTGCCCGCCCTCCAGTTGCGCCGAGGGGCTGCGGAGCTGTGAGTCCCCCGCGACGTGCTGTTCCCCTTACACTACCCCCCGCCACCCCCGGGCCCAGAGCCACCTCTTTCCCTAAAATGGCTGCAATCTCAAGTGGAGGCGTCCCTTGACCCCGCGGAGGCGGGGTGGGGGGTGGGGAGTGGATGCTCCGGCGCCCGTGACCCGGCGCTTCCCCTGGCGCGCACAGGCACCCCACAAACACACACACTTAACTTTGATGACTGTGCAATGCAGTCCGGCTGCATCGTGCCCTCGACGCTCCCCGCCGCCGGCCTGTAGGTGTGCATGTCGGTGTGAATCCGGGGTGGAGGGGCCGTGGAAGCTGGAGGTAGACGCCGGAAGGGGGGGCGTGGAAGGAGATGGGTGTTAGCCGGCCACGGGTTAGTAACCTGGAGAGACAGGAGTGTGCTCAGGGTCTAGGGGTGCAAAAGCTATTCTGGGAGCCAGAGCGAGAAAGAGAGGAAAAATGCCTTTTAATTAAATAACTGTTGTAGTCTGCTGCCCCCACCGCTTGTTTGGTGAAAGTCTACAGGCATCTGTCATCTCCAAACTACGCGGGGAAGTGGAGCTGGAGTCGAGGGAGGGGAGGGGAGGGGAGGGGTGTGTGTGTGTGTGTGTGTGTGTGCGCGCGCCTGTGTGTGTGTGTGCGTGGGTGTGTACGTACACGCGCATGTCCAGGCTGGGGAAAGTTGGGGCCGGAGGAGAGGTGAAGAGCAATGGTGAAAGGCAGCAGCAACTCGGTGGGCGGTCGGGGCTCCAGGGCGCAGGGGATTCCCGGGCCCCGCGGAGCGCGGGCCGCGGGGGGAGCCGCGCGGCGGGGCGTTGGGGGTGTCGAGGAAAAGAGATCTGTTCGGCCCGGCTCTCCCGGCAGCCGCGGCGTCTCTTTTTCCCAGTCTGCCCGCCAGCCTCGGCCGCTCGCGGGGCTGCCCGCCGCACTCGCCGGCTCTGGCGCGCTCCCTCCCGGGCCCGGGGCGCAGCGCGCTCCTGTGAGCTCCAGGCTGAAAAGCCAAACCCCCGCCCAAAGCAAAACAACCCCAAAATGCGCTCTGCCGCCCCCTCATTACCCCTAGTTTCTAAGAAACGGAAATCCCCAAACTAGTAGTTGCCGGGCGAAGCCCTGGCGTCTCCGTGAGAGCTCCCGGGAAAGCGCCGCGGCCATCCGAGTGAATAATACATAAGGACGGCCGGGGAGCCCCGGAGAAGCTCCTGCCGCCGCGGCAAGCAGCAGCGGGAGGCGGCGGCGAGCTCCGGCCAGACCGCCGGGCTGCCGCCGCGGGTGGGGACGTCTGGGCGGCCCCCGGGTAGCATACCAGGCGCGGAGCTGCGGGTGGGGCAAGAGGGCGGCCCAGGCGCGTGAAGTGAGGGTTTGGGGGCGAGGCAGCCGGGAAAGGGGAGGCCCGCTGTGAGTAGAAACTTGAAGAACTGCCGGGGTGGTCAGGCTGGCTGGAGTTAGGCGACTCGGAGTGGGGTGGGGGGTGCCCTGGCTGCTCGTGGCCGGTGCAGGGGGCTTTCTTCAGGCCACCCTGCCCTGTCTTGCGGGGCCCCGGTGCTCTCTGCGTGCCTCCCCGCGCCGGCTCCGGGTAGCCGAGAGCCAACGACCCCTCCGGCTCGGCCAACTCCTGCTCTCCAGGAGCGGGAGTACGCGCGCGCGTGTGCGAGTGTGTGTGTGTGTGTGTGTGTGTGCGCGCGCGCGCGTGTGACTGTCGATGAGTCAGAAACCAACCCCAGCTCGCTTTTAAGGACCAAGACGAGTAGGAAAGCCTAGACCCTCACACGCAGAGCCAGCCTGGCGGGCATTTGGGACTCGGGGATTCCTTGGCAGCACCGCGCTCCCAGTCCCGGAGTCAGATGCGTTGGGATAAGTTTCGAGGCGCGTACCTCCGACCTGTATCTCGAGGCCGCGAAACTCGGGCACTGCGTTTTCCTCTGAAAAGAGAGAGGAAGGATGGAAGGAAGCTCGCGGTGATACTGCTTTACAGCGGTGGGAGCTTTGGCAACATCTTGGATAAAATAGGAAACAAGTCTTTGGAGAACGTTTAAAAGCGAAGGGACGCGGCCCGAATTTGCAGGACTGGCAATCACGTGCAAACTCCTTGGAAACCGAAGGAGGTGGGCGAGAGGGAGGGGAGATGGGCAGGGTCAGAGTAAAGGAAGCCGAGAGCCGGAGAAGGTGGGGAATAAGGGGGAACATTTGAAAAAAGAGGAAAACTATCGGTTTCCTCGGGTGAAGTTAGTTTGACTTGATTTGGAAAAGCTTTTTTCCCAAAAGGCAAGATCCTTCTTCTAGAAAGGAAGACTCGTGTTGCTAAGAAAATCGGAAAGAATTTCTGATAAAGCAGCTGGCGCTGCTCTTTGGAGGATGATTCGCTCGCAGGCTGGTATTGGGTGGCGCGCTACTCTCTCAGTGCGGTGGAATTGTGTGGTGGGGAAAGGGAGGTTATTTGAAATATTGATCTCTCCTTCCAGTTGTACGGTATGAACTTTACGATAAAGTACAGAAACAAATGAGAGATGTACGTCATTAGACTGAGGTGTCCTCAAGTGCTACGGAAGCTTTAATCTTTGGTGGTGAACGCAGCCAGGCAAGTGCGTCTTGCCAGGATTTGCGGTTTCCAACGCGGCCGGCTCTCCATTTTCAGGGCTGAAGAATGTATGTGCATAAGGACCTAGGTTCCTAGTGCTCCACAGTTCACATTTCCAGCGGTTGAGCCTAGGCACAGAACTGAGAAACCTGCTCCCAACTCTTCCTCCGCTGAAAAGGGATAAAACAAAGGCAACACTAAAACTCATCGTGGACTCAGGCAGGGCTGCTGTGGGGAGGCCTGGGCCAAATTTGAAAGAGTGAGACTTATTCATGATTTTTACCTGAATTTCTGCCAAAAAGCTTACAAATCCTCTATTCCCTAAAAATAGCAATGCTCTTCAAATGTAATTTGTTTACTCTTCCTCAATTAAAAATAAAACCATCTTCCTAGTGTTATAAAGTGCTTATGAAGGTAAGGGTTGACTGTACTAAAAAAAAAATCAAGCTTTTTATTTCTAGATCAATATGATGTGCTCTCAACATCTAATACCATGTAAAAGGAGCCTTTTTACAACATCAATAGCAGGCAGGCATGTCTCCCTAAGAACCTCTTTTCCTGGAATCACAAGGCATTTTGATTTGCTTTCATTTTCACAAGAAACATGATTATGACACCTCTGGTTATAAACAAGCCAGTGAAAAAAATAATGAGGGTGGGGGTTCTTTGTATAGAAATCGAGAAATTTGGAAACAACTGGGGCATTGGTTCATTACTAAACCCCCAAACAAAACCCCCAACCCAGCCTTGAATCATCTTCGACTGGAAGGTTTTTTAGTTTAGTTTTTTTTTTTTTTTTTTTTTTCCTGTGACATTTTATCACCAAGGCTGGGGGGGGGGGAATTGGGGTGATTTTTTTTGGAGAGAGTCCAATGTGTATGAGAGCCGAAACTGCATCTGTTACCATTTGAAAACTGGGAAATCCCATCTTATATCTGAAGAGACCATGTTGCAGATATTTTGCACCTACTTGCCAAAGTGCAAAACATACCATAGTGCGAGTGTGTGTGTGTGTGTGGGGGGGAGCATCTGCTTTGGTGGAATTTATTTCTTCAATTAGAATGAAAACCCCAATTAAAGTGTGTATGTGAAATGTCTCTGATTTGGCTCCGTGCAGCAGACAGCAGACCATTCTTTAATTTACAGTTTCATGCCTAGGGATGGCAGTAGTGCAAGCTTCCAAAACCCAGCATTATCTTTTTATGTTGTGCTTTTCAACCTGCGAGTCTCTCCTGTAGATGTTTGAGCTTTTCTGTCTCCATCACGACTCTGACTGTGGAGCGGTCATTACTGCTTGCTGGTTTGGACCTGGGTCACCTTATTTAGTTGTCACTCTGGAAGCCCAAATCGAAGCAGGCCAGGTCTGTATGATATTGAATCAATGAATGGAAAGTGAAAAATGGAGCCAATTAGCTCACTGCTTGGATATCCATGAGGCCAGACATCTGACTTTACTCACCTGATTGACCAGTTCTTTGGTTACTGGATAGCTCAGCCTGAGTTTGTGAAAAAATACTACCACTAGGCTGGAGTCTGCTCTTTTACTTTTCTTACCCACCACTCAGCCCAACCCCCACCACTCCCTCACTCTCCCTCGCATACAGACCGGAAATGTAAAATGGCATCATTATGGACACACACTTTCTGGAGTAGGCAGTGACTGTTTCGAATTCAGCCCTGGGCTTTTGATGCCAGTACCTGTAATTCTTTGTACTCACTCTATCTTTTCAAGCAGGATAGAAGTTTCAGTTCAGAATCATTAAAGGATGTGGGTAAGTTGTTGAAAGCTTCTGCTGACTGCCTATTTCTTGTTTTTGTTTTTGTTTTTTTTTGTTTTTTGTTTTGGCTTGGCATAACATCCATGAATATGGATAGCCAGAGCAGAAAGCAGCCCACTGAGGAACACTTCTCCATCCAGTCCAAGTACTATAAAGAACTCAGTATTTTTTTCCCCCTCTTCTCTGGATATTTCATAATTTTTAAAATAGTAACAATGTTTGGATC